TGCAATTTATTTTCACACTGCATATTATTCATATACACAGGTATAAATAATTGAATAAACCATCTCGCTGAGGTTACTTTTTTTTTTTACACCCAAAAAGACAAATGACCTAATTAAAAAACGAACCACCATGTGCTGGGAAGAAAAAAAGATTACGTGATGCTAACATTAAAAACCTACTTGACGTGTTCTTAGTAAAATAGCTAGTGAAATAGAATTATGACTGAAGACATTTAGATGACAAGATGATGACTGCTTGGTTTATTTGAATAACAATGCTTCCATAATGCTTGTAATGAAATATTGAAGGGCCTCCTGCAAAAATACAAAGATGAAAGTGAGTGAAAGAGAAAAAAAAAAGTCATCTATTCTAAAAATTACGAGGAAAAAGGCTAATATATTCAAATGTCAAAATTATGTTAGTGGCCAATTATACATTTTATGTCAAAAATATACCTAAATTTAATACTAAGAGGCTAAAAAAGAAAAAAAATTGAAACATTCTTGAAAAGCCCTTTATTATTTAGTGTTGTTAGAAGTTAATCCTGATTTCGGCCAAAGACATTCTTTTGTACAGGTGTGCAAAAAAAAAAAAAAAAAAAAAAAAAAAGATTTTTTTTTATAATAAGCTGATGTAGGGCGCTTCTGGTTACAAACATGCACACACGAAATGAAGACTTATTGTAGTGATTCACATAAATATTAATATTTCCAAACAAGTGTGTTGTAAGTATGAATTAATTATTTTTTAACATGTCCACTACAGTCACCATCTGGGATATTCGATTTGATTGTCTCATCACTTTCAGATTTTTTTTTTTTTTTTTTTTTTTAAATCTTCATATTTCACAAACCAATCGCAAATAGACACGAAACACATCAGATGATATTGATGTCTATTGTCTATTCATTCAGTCCCAATGTATTTAGGTTCCGATAGATTGGAGTTTTTAAGAGGAGGAGTTCAATGGATGATGTTTCAGGTCATGAAAGAAAAAAAAAAAAAAAAAAAAGAGAGAAAGGATCTGAATCATTAGGAATTTAATAATGAAAGTCAAGCAGAAACAGAAGAGCAAGCAGCATGGTATTTCTTCAAAATGGTTGGCAATATGTCTTCATTAAATGTTGGGTGTGGTGCACTTCAATGACAGCTGAATTTATTATACTCATCAAACAACTGGATTGTTAACGTAACGATGATCGAAGATTTCACCAACAATCGAATCATTTTTCTTTAAATCTCAATGAAGTAAAAAAAAAAAAAGAAACCCAAATAATATTACCAAGCCCTAACGTACGCACAATAAATGTTTTTGGTGTAGCCATTTCACATCTTTCTAGTTTAAACAGTTGTACGAGTAACAGATTTTTAAGATTTTCCTAGGTTTTTCTTCAAGAATTTAAAAAAAAAAACCCAAAAAACAACAGAGACGCAGACAATCACGACTAATAAAGAAGAAATTTTTTGCTGAGGAAAATGCGGTAAACATGTTCTGATTTTTTGTCAGTTTATGAAAAAAAATATGAGAATTAAGAAGAGGTGAAAACGCAACCTAAGGGATACATTAGTGTACTGTAGCACCTAACAATAGTAGTAGTAGTAGAGAAATATTTTCACACACACACACACACACACACACGTAAGTGTTAGACAAGTAGTAAAGTTTCAGTTAACAAAATTGGACATAGAAGGAATGGAAGTTGCTAGTGTATGCTTTCCATTACTTGTCAGTAGTCAGTTGAAAGGAGTACTAGACACGAGTAGTTGAGACAGAGAGTGGCTGGGAGTTAGGAGTGGAGATATGAGGGAGAAGAAGTGGAACCTGGTTGGAGGAGTCGGGTTTCAGTCGCTCAAAGTTAAGCTTACCTCGCACCCAGCAAGGAAAGAATGATGAGAGAGAAAGCAAGAGGGACGAATATAATGAGTGTACTTCTTGTGCAGAGTTAGTTAGAATGAGCAGTGCAGTAGTAGTGTATTGTTGTAATACAGCAAATCGGTCACAAAATGGGGGATCAGTTTACGAGTTTGAAGGAAAATAAGCAAACATAGCAAATGAAAGGTTCAGTTGTGAATCATATGAAGATCAATCAAGAAATATAAAGGAATATATAAATGTCAATTTTAAACAGATTTTGTTTTTAGTTTATACTTGGACACAAAGAAAAAGCGACCGATTTACTGTTAGTGTATATTAATTAAACTATGATTCATGTTACAACACACACAATGTGTGCGTGAGTGAGAGAGAGAGAGAGTTTCAACTTGTGATATTTATTTAAAAAAAACAACAACAAAAAACAAAATATAAATAAGAAGTAATAAAAAAATAGTTATCACTTAGGGACGAAGACCAAATTATTTATTCTATCATTTTTAGCCTAAACAAAATTATCATATTGCATTTTTAACGTATTTAATAGAGAATGACGTATACATGCATTCCCATTAAAAGCGAAGAAGATTTTTTTATTTATTTAAAAATGAGAAACGGACTAAATGTCTTAAAAAAGCTGTCGTTCTAGAATTAGAGGACAAAAGAATTCTAAAGTACTAACAGAAATATTTCAATGCATGGCAATTCAATAAAAGGTTGAAATGAAAGTAAATAACTAAGAACACCTAATGAGAGCAGTTGCAGTGTAAAAATATAATTAGCCAACTTTTCTCTTAATTATATAGAAAGATCGTTGTTTGGGGAGCGCGTGATTTCATGTTTTTTCTTCTTCTTCTTTTTAAACAAGTGATAGGGCTAAAATGTTGAAATGTTTAAAAACTAAGAATCCTATTTTCTCCAACAGATTTTCATAACAATGTATTCTTTTATGGTTAAAAATAAAAATGATTCGAAGTGGAACAAAATGCTACAGCTGACTTGGTCAATGATACCCATCTCTTCCCAATCAAGAGAAAGATGCTCCCTGGACTAGAGGAGCTTTTTTTTTTTGCCATTTATGCCTTTTCTTCCAGTAACTCATTAATAAATTGTCTTTTATAAGAGGGCAAGTAAATAAATAAAAGCAATTACTTGCATGTATTGATCCACATCACCCTCAAGTCAGTACTATTGATCAATACACCAATGTTGTTAGTCGTATTCAAAAATCGGTTTCATATTATTTTCAACGATAAATTACACAAAGATTAATACCCGCCAAAAGTATGCATATTAAGAGAAGAAAAAAAAGAAAAAAAAAGGTCAGTGTGTAGGCGTGAGGACAACGCTTGTCAGGGTTATTTTTTCTCTCTTCATTACTATATATAATCGTGGTATAGAAGCTGCAAGTGAAGAAGACAACGACTGCTGATACCTGGGCCCTTCTTACAGCCGGTAATATATCTTCAACAGCTGCTGTCCACTTTCAATAACGAATTTTCAATTCATGAGAAAAACCTTAATAATAGCTGCAATGACAACCGTTAATTTGTGCATAGCAAGTTCAACCAGGGAGGAATCTACCGAAAATAAACCTGTAGCTAGTCAGGAGAAATGGTTTTTATTGACTGAGAGAGAGAGAGAGAGAGAAATGAATTTGAGGTTGGGAAAAAAAAAAAAAAAAAAAAAGGTCGTTCAGTTTATTAGATAGAAAGAGATTTTTGTGTTACTAAAAACTGATGTAACTAAAAAAACGTTTAATTTATAGAGAAAGTTGATGTGTAAAGAGAAATTTTGTATTTTGGAAACAGTTCCATGACATTTTAATAAATAAATAAAAAAAACGTGGACTGAATCAAGGGAATTAAAAATAATTAGGAGGGTTTTTTTAGGTTTACTTTTTATTACTTAGGAAATTCTTTGTTTATGTGTGATGAAGCAAATCATTTTCTCTCATTTGAATAAAATAAAAAAAAAAACTGCTTTCGATAAAAAAATATCCTTAGGAAAAAAACCTTTAAATTTTTGTTAATGATGACTAAGCGTTTCGACTTTAATTTGCCAGATATATAACACTTAAACTTATTTTCACTATTACGTTATAATAGTGATAATAAGTTAAGGTTTTTACTTAGTAGATCAACAAAGTAGTGAAAGGGGATTGCTTCATTGTTTCCCTATAACAGGTTCCCGAAATTCAGTTACGAAATCGAATAACTTTCTAGATTTTCATTTCAAAAGTAATTCGAATTAACTTATTGCTTTTGTTTGATGTTTTTTAAACCAATAACAAATATTACTTTTCAAAAATAGAGGGCTTTAGCATTAAAATCTTTGATTCATAAAATTCTTCACAATAACAACCAATCACTTCAATTCCCAAGACTAAAAAAATAGTTCTATTTTAATTTTAGCTTGTCTAAAAAGCAGGCTCTTGATTTCCATAATTAGAAATATTCAGGTTAGATATTTGCTCTTAAGAAATTATCTATCTAGATTTGCCTCAAATGTTTTCAAGTTTTTGATATCAAAAGTTATAGATGGATAAAAATACTCCATTAGATTTTACCTATTCGTTAAAATTTCCCTCTTATTTCAAACGATTTTACTATTTTTTATGAACCGTTTTGGTGGTAGAGAGAAACTCGAATTTGCAAAGATTCATTTTAAAAATGGTTTTCAATGTAGATTTTTCGACATGCTATGACTTATCTATACTTATTATTTTTTATTTATGCTACCGTCCTGTTTTTAAACAATGTTTATCCCATTAAAACTCCTCCTCCTTCATTTATTTCGGATCCATTTCACAGACTTGTGGGGAAACAGGGTTGCTTTCTAACATTGATTCATAATTCAGTCGTACATGATATCACAAAATCATCAAATTATAATTTTCTTTTATGCTAATTTTTATGTCATGAGATCTAAAGACTTTTTAAACCGCCAAATACACCTCTTAACATATTTCCAACTTGTAGTTGGAGCCTTCTCTTTCCCAAATTGCGTCGTCATTTAATTTTACTCTCATTATTCATAATTGTTGTGGAGTTGATATTTTGACAGACAAGCAAGAAACCATTCATAAGATGACCAGAAAAAATTAATAATCAGAAAATATCTTACCCTTCAGATGAGGTAAAGCCTGCAGTTCGGGGGCATTCTTCGTTCTGTAATGAGACGATCCTTGAGATCGTTTTTGCCTTTTCGACTTGATGGCCGCTTTACTCGTGAACGGGTCGATCATGTCCAGGACTTTTGAGGTCATGGCTTTTCCGATTGATTTCGTTTTTTGTATTTTAATTTTTAATTTTTTTAGGAGCTGGACACGCTAAGGTCCAAGCGATAATCCGCTGTTATTTTAGCTCTCACATACGATGAACCTTGACGAACTTATTTATAACATGGCCACCACAAACAGACTAGACACATCCTCCTCTCCGTCAAGAGCTCTTTTTCACAACTCACCTAGACGCTCCGCTGTTTGACAAAACGGCACATTAATATTTCCATGGGGATCCTATAGTATTATCCAGAATATTCCAACAGTGAATAACAAATTGAAGAAAAGATAGGTGCAGTAAACTGTAGAATGTTATATGGGGGGGTTTCGTCCACGGGTTTGCAAAGCTTAGTTTTTCGTATCGTCCTTGAAACTCTCGTAGTAGATCGTTATCAAGCGTGACTCCGCGAGACTTGCCTTTTGTGACCTGGGGCGAATTCAAACATAGTAAATGTTAATTTGCAGTAACTACGGATGTGCAAAAGAACTGTATTTTTCTTTTTCCTTTCCTCAAAAACTATTCTCAGAATTTAAAAAACGAAAAATCTGAGTATGTATTTTCAGCATAAACTTAAGGATTTATTTAAATGACTAGGTAACAATTTAATTTTTCAAACTTTGCAACTGGTATCATATTGGATACTATTTTATCCCTCCTTATTGAAAACGATTTTTAAGAACTATGCGAGAAAGCATCAACATCTGAAAAAAAAAAAAAAAGAAGTTTTCATTAATTTATAATAAAAGTCCCTAAAGAAAGATTCTAAGCAGAATTTTAAAGTTATCTTCAGTTCAAAAAAGTACTTACAAATTAATTTATTAAATTTAAAATGAAATGAATTTCATTATGTTATTAAAATTGGAGTTAATGAAGGGCGGAAAAAGACGTTTTCTTTGAGTTTGAAAGAATAGTTTAGTTAACTTTTTTAAAGTTTATATAAAGTAAACAAATGTAATGAAAAATGCCTTCCAAATAGTTTTTACTTTTTATTGTCATGACAAAAAAATTACAATAGGAACAAAAAATGCATTTTAATAGCGATAATTTTTTTCACCATTTTTTTTTCTTTAGGAATAAGATTTTTTTTCAGATCTACAGTACTAAAGTACATAGCTATAATCCTTCTTTAATCCTTTCTTTTTTGTGTCAGGCACGTGTCTCCGTAGATTCCAAGCGCACTGTTTGCTGTCCCCCCACCCTCGCGTTGGAGAAAAATAGTAACAAAATAAAGTAAACAAATAATAAAATCAGGCCAGTTTTCAAACATTCCGTCTATATTTATTAATTGACTGTCTTATTTTCAGAATGCTTTCATTTCGTTTCTTTTAAAATAGATTAACTTCCACACCATCAATTCGTTATACAAAAGTTGAAAAAGTGTAATTGTTTCGTATACAAACCGTATTTTCTCTCTCTACCGACAAAACTTTAGGGACGTTTTTAGAAAATACTACAAAAAGTACTTTACTTCGATTAAAAAGTCTTTTCTTGCTTGTTAATGAGTTATTAAGCTATACTTTGCCTTCATGGTTTTTTTACCTTTTCTTTCTCTAAGGCATTTTTACCTACCCTCTCTATCTTTCATCATCTCTTATTTAAATGAGTTTCCTTTCCTCTTCTAGTTTTTTTTTTTTTTTTTACTTTTTCCTTTTTTGAATTTTAAACGAAAAACTTTAATCTCAGTAAATTACTTTTTAGTTTTTTTTAAAGACATATTTCCGTTTAAATATGTAAAAATTATTTATTCTTCACCTGTGAACGTGTACTGTACATTGTAAAGAACTTTTTAACGCTAAAAAAAGTTTCCATGTGCTTTTAGAAGTTTTTTTTTATGGTACAGTAGTAGTACACAATATAGTTACTTTTTTAGTTACACATAAGTGTAGTAATCCATAGTTTCTTCTTAGTCTTATGTACGCCTAGTGCATTTAAAAGATTTGGGGGGGGGTATGCATAAAACGTGGGTGGGTGTGAGCATAAGTTCGAATGACTGACTACCTTATAACTTAAGTGAGAACTTTTTAAAAATTTTTTAGTCTTATTTTAGTTAGTATATAATATTTTTACTTTGTTTTGTTATCCTTCTTTTCACTTGACTTATGCTTTTTATTTATTTGCCGCCCACCCTACATTATCTACCCTTACTTCAAATACACCTAAATACTTAAATATAAACTACTTTTCGACCAATCCTTATTTATTAACCTCCTCGCTACATTCCTTTTTATTTATAGACGTTTCTTCAGCAGAGATTTTCGTTTTTCTTTAAAGAGGGAAAAAAATTTTTTTATTGTGCAAGATGTTCATTCTGGTGTCCAACTTGAAATATTTTAACCAGAATATCTTTAAAAAAAAGTACTAATGTGCTAATAAATAAATAAGTTTTACTTTTTAAATTACTTTCCATCTTTGAATCTGCAATATTTCTGAAATTTTGTAACTTCTGATAATAGCATTATATACTGAACCTGGAATCATTGTATTTAAAGAACACACACATACACATGGTAGAGAAATTGTATTGTGTGAGTTTTCTAAGTGGGGAGTTTCTACATTTGAATTTCTGATCTTTATTTTTTTAATATAAAAATAAACAATATAGTTATCAAAAGATCAACATTTAACCTCCAAAAAACAAGGTCTAAACTGGACTCTGATAAGGTTGACAATAAAAGTCTAAATATATGATACTTACATTTAATCGTTGACAATATGCTTTAGGATGTAACTTTCTCTCATAAATGTTTTACATACTACCGTGGACAAGTTAGGTTTGTAGTGTATGATTTGCCTAAGTGTTCATACACACACTTCTCTATCAGCCATCACAGAATGGCAATGACAAGACATTTTTCAATACATCTGGGAATGAGGCAGAGTGTGGGGAAATTTAGTTTCATGCCTTTCCCAAAAAGTATTAGTGAGAAACACAGCTGATTTCAACTTGTTTTCCTGATTCTTCCATTTTCTGTGGTAATAATTATGACACTACCTTGAGAGGTTAAATATTATTTTATTAATAATTACTATTACTGTTTCTTGGCTTTTATAAGAAAAGTTTTTTTTTTATTTTAACTGACAAATTGTTTAGGAAAGCTTCTTCAATTAAAGAAACTGAATTGTTTTACTTTTGAGTGAGTCTTTTCTTCAATGACTATACATTTCAAAATGTTAGGCATACTTCTTTCTAAAATTTATTAAGTCTTCCCAAAAGGTTTCCTTTTGAAAAACACGGTCATTTTGTTTCAAGTTATCTCCTACATCAAAGAGAAATATTCACAAATATCGATTTGTATTTTTATCAAAGACACTTTAGTTAATAACAGGATTTTTAACTACAGCTAAATCATTAAATTTTAAATGTACCAATAATGGATTATGTGCCCTTGTTTTTTTTAATACTAAATTAGGTGTGTTTTTGTTTGTTACTGGTTCTGAGCAGATATTAATTTACACATTTGATCTACTAATGGGATTTTTAAAACAATACTAATTGACTCATTTTTTTTTTTTTTTGCATTTTCATTGTTTCTCATTCAGAATTTCTTTCTTCTGGAGAGAAGAGTGATCTCCCTTTTCTTTACATAAGTGATGAATGAGATCTGATTTTCTGATCTCTCCTATGATTATTTTATTTACTCTTATGATTAGAATCACTTTTATGAAAAATAAAAAGTGGCGGGGGGGGGACAAAACGATTAAAATAAGGATAATATCCAAAAGTCATTATGAAGAAAAAAAGTATTTCAAAATCTCACATAGAAATAATAAAAAAGTAAATAATAAAAGAAATATTTGAATCTGTAATTGTTTAGCACTTGTATTTGGTGTATGGCAAATATTGTTTGTACATCCCACACAGGAGAATTTGACATATGTATACAATTGGAGAATGAGTGTTGCCAGACTTAGCCCCCGAAAACACTATGACTCCAGGTTCTGGTTGACAATGAAGGTTAATATGTGCAATATAGAATGCACTCAACAATGTTTTATATTATTATTTCTCTCTCTCTCTCTCTCTCTCTCTCTCTCTCTATATATATATATATATATATATATATATATATATATATATAAATAAAAGACCTTTTCACTGCCTGAGGAAGCCTTCATTGGTAGAAACTGGGATAGCAGAAAAGGTTAGTGTTTTGTAATATTTTAGATCTTAACTAGTTCTACACTTTTCATTTTTTGAATTGTGTATTGAGCACTTTTTAAATATAACCATATCTCGGACAAAGTAAACCCTGCCTGTAAAAACAGTTTTATTATATATATATATTTTAAGATATTTTTTATGTTTATACGTTCTTTTTTATAGATACAAATATTTAAGTAAATGCTCTGTTTATAATAAACAGTATTAACAACATTTACTGGCCTGAATGTCTGAGAAATTTTCATAGAAGATATGCGACTTCCGACAGGGAATTGAACCTGTATCCTATATGGAACCATCATATAGTGTGACATGCTTTTACCAATTGAGCCACAGAGGAGTGTTTTGGTTAGCAAGGTTGATTTTACTGTTTTTAAACCACAATTCTCCATGATTTTCTCTCATACATTCATATCTGCTCAATGCATATCCAAATGTAAACAAATGACGTTACACATGAAATAGACAAAGTCCGACAATTATTTTAAGACATTATGTTCTTTTTATAGATACAAATATTTAAGTAAATAATAATATAATAAACACTCCTCTGTTTATAAAAAAATGCTCCTCTGTGGCTCAATCGGTAAAAGCATGTCATGCTATATGACGGTTTCGTATAGGATACAGGTTCAATTCCTGTCAGAGGATGCATATCTTCTATGAAAATTTTGTGGACATTCAGGCTGGTAAATGTTGTTAATACTGTTTATTATAAACAGAGCATTTACTTGAACATTTGTATCTATAAAAAGAACATATAAACATAAAAAAATGTCTTAAAATAATTGTCGGACTTTG